GCATTGATGGTGTTAGTTGACGAATGTTCATCCCCAAAGCTCGAAGGGTTCGAAGAGGAAGCAGGTTTACTGTTGATCCACAATCAAGCAAGATTTGATTCATCGATGTATCTCCCACCAGTCCACTGACGTACAAGGGTCGATTATGATACTCGTCTCCAAGTATAAGGTCATTTTCATCAAATGTGATACTTGCGAGGCAGCAAGTGCAATACTTTGGCGACGTTGTATCCACTTCTGCAAATTTGAAGTTTGTTTCAAATACTTCAGGATTTGTCAAAGCCGTAATAAGTGTTTCTCTAAGCTCATTTGACATTTTCAGAGCATTGTACACACTGAGAAAAGATGGAATACGCTTAAGATGGTCGATGATGTCATATTTGCCATCCTGGGACTGTAGTACATCTTTTGCATGTCTCTTAGAGGTACTTGCTTTTGTGGTTGAGATTCAAATTTCTACTGCGGGCTATACAGTGGTAATGACTGGAACTTGTCTTACACTTAGTTTATCGGAATGTTTGACTGAATCAACTACTTCTTTTCTTTCTTTCTTATCCGCAGACATGATCCTTTGGCCAGAGCGTAGAGTTATTTCATCTACCTCATCATCGTTGTGGATTTCACATGAGGTCGTGCGACAATTTCCATTTTCTTCCTCGCCTCCCTTACTCTTAAAAAGTTTTGGAGGGAGGTAGTCTCCAAGGGTTATTGGTGCTCTGAAAGGCTGCTTGTACTCATCATCTTGAAAGACTTTAGGCTTTCTTTGAGTATTCTTCTTCTTTTTCTTTCCATCCTTTGAGGGTGGTCCACTCCATAATTTTCCTTTTGATCGCTTTGTGGAAGAAAGACGTTTAGCAATCTTTTTCACCTTCTTTTCATTGATGGTTTGCCACTTGTCTTCGGATTCAAGTGATGACGAATCCTTCCAAACATCAAAACTTGGTGCCATCATGAGCTCGTATAGAGTTGGAATTTTTGGATTTCCGGAACGAGGCATGCCAGGATAAGCATGGACAACTGTGGTTTCATTATTGACATGGAATCCTACATGGATTGCCCCTTCTGGTAATGGAGAGGAGGGTGTTGATTTTCCTTCGATCATTTTGGAAGTTGCCGTCTGATGTTTTGAAGATGAATCCACCTCGATCTCATGCTTGTTGATTTTTTCTTGAATTATATCCTTAAGGATATAACAGTCCTCTATCGTATGGCTGATGAGTCGATGATACCGACAATACTTTGGATCATCGATCTTATTTACTTCAGCGGGACGCTTTGGTTCAGGAAGCGTGATCATCTTTGCTGCAAGGAGTTCGTCGAGGATAGTTCCAACATCTTCATCATCGAAACTATGTTTAACTTCTTTTCTTTCTTTAAGCGAAAGCCTCCTCGTCCCTTTGGTTTCTTCTTTTCTTTTTATAGTGTCACTTTTCTTGTCTACTTTGACAAATGTCGCCATAGAATCTCCCTTCTTCGACATTCTTTTGTTATCTCCATTCTTGGTGTCTGACTTATTTTCTAAGTCTTGGATCATCTTTCCAATCACATTTTTCCGGGACATTTATTTCTCCACATTACTTGCCTTGGATACTAACTCATCGAAAGTTCAAGGCTCCGTAATTCCTACAAATGTTGCAATCTCGGGGATAAGGTTATTGTAACATATTTACACCGCCGAAAATTCAGAAATCTTTTTCCATGCATTGTAGGTTAAGACTCTTTCATCTTGTGATGAATTCGCTCGCGCTTTCTCCAAGCCTTTGTGTTGTTTGAGCCAAATCCATTAATGTGACTTTTTTCTTTGAACTGACGAATTGAGCTAGAAAAGCTCTTTGCATATCATCCCATGTTATAATAGATCCGGGCTCTAACTGAGTGTACCATGTGAAAGCAGACCCTTTGAGTGATTGAACAAGTTGCTGAACCAATAAGGGATCTGATTGCGATGTCTCCCCACAAGCTGAGTAAAAATGAGCTAAGTGTTCTTGAGGAGAACCACTTAAACCATCAAATTTATCAAAGCTCGGTTTTTTATATCCTTGGGGAAATGGCACTATGTCATAGTGAGATGGACAACGCTTCTGGTATCCGAGAATTGGTGTCGTTAAAGACATTTGAAATTCATGAATCTTTTCAGCGAAAATTGCATTGATATCTTGAAGTGTGAGTTGGCTACCAGAACTTTCTCCTTCTGTTTCTTTCCTTGCTCTTTCTCCAGCATTATTTATGCTAGCTTAAGCGGCTAACTGAGCTGCTAAAGTCGCAATTTCAGCTTCCTTATTAGCTACCAAAGCCGCCATTTCTGCTTCTTTTTCTGCTAGTTTTCGTTGCATTTCTAGCAATTGTTCTTCTGTATTTGATGCCCTAGTCATCAAAACTAGCATGTTCTCAGGTTCGGTGTCTTCATTTATCCCCAACCTTTGGAATTGAGTCATTACTCTAGGAATCTCTTCTTGGGAAAAATATTTGTTTCCTTAAGGCGTTCTTGGACGGACATTTCTTCGGCCCAACTATGATCACTTTTGACAGCTACCTTGCTTGTCTTTGTTACTATCTTAGCCTTCATTATGTTGCAGACAGTTAGTCCTTCATTGATGGTGAAGGAGATTCGGTGACCAACATGCCTTCCATGTCCAAGTTTGGATTCAGCAATAGGGAGTTTGTGGAAGTAAACAATAACTCGTGGCGCCATGTTTCCTGTTACAAAAACAAAAAACATAGGACATTAATTATCTTCAAAATTAGAGATGAAAAGGAAATGGGTCCCACTGGGCGTGCCAAAAATTATGTTGAGCAAAAATTGTACATAATATGTAAACAAATAATTCATTCGACACAATTTCACCCTCATTCATTTTTTCGAAGAGGGTTTTATTAATTCGAGTTCAACCCATTCTAGGCTACACGCCAATTAATTACAACCTTTCTTTTGAAAAAGGAATACCCTTTGATTCTAATATGAATAAATCGTAACTTGTGGATTTGGGTGTTTATTTGATTGTGTGACTGCGTCTAGGTAGAGCCCTAGATTGCCTACGTACCCTTGTTGAGGGATCAAGTCACTCATAGTTCTTTGTATGCTTGATACTTGTTTGGATTTGATGTTTTGTGCAGTTTTAGCTCATGCGGGTGAGGACTTTGCGCCATTGGAGCATTTGTGCCTTGTGCAGTTTAGGCTCTTGTAGGCGAGGACTTTAAGCCATTGGAGCTGTTGATTTGGCTTCATGCCATTTGAAATTTTTCTTCAGCTTCATGCCTTTTGGCATTTGACGCGGCTTCATGCCATTTGGAATTTGATGTGGCTTCGTGCCAAATGAGAAACGGCTTTGTACCATTTGAAGCGGCTTCGTGTCTTTCGTAATTTGAACCAGCTCGCTTCTTTTTTACTCTTCGTAGAATTTGTAATTAAAAGTGAATTTAGTTTATATAAACCAAGGATTTGTCTTGATTTCATGGTTGCGTCTATAATTTGATATCAGACTGCCTACGTATCCTTAACGGAATCAAACCGGCGTAGTTCATAATGTTTTATTTGGATTTGCCTAATTGTGTTCAGTCTTGGTAAAATGAGTAGTCAATTGGATTTGTTTGAAACCCATACATGACCTTTGGTAATATCCAATAGATCCTTGTGAAATGGGACTTCACTTTTTTCTTCAAGTAGTAACCCAGGTGGGATGCGCAGTACAAAGTAAATAGGACTTTGTCCTTTCCTTGAGTATAAGGTGGGATTCACGCCATATGGACTGAAAAAGGCATTTATGTAGTCGATTGGATTTGTTTGGAACCCATACATGACCTTGGGCAATATCCAATAGATCCTTGTGAAATGGGACTTCAATTTTTTCTTCAAGTAGTAACCCAGGTGGGATGCGCAGTACAAAGTAAATAAGACTTTGTCCTTTCCTTGAGTAGAAGGTGGGATTCACGCCATATGGACTGAAAAAGGCATTTATGTAGTCAATTGGATTTGTTTGAAACCCATACATGACCTTTGGTAATATCCAATAGATCCTTGTGAAATGGGACTTCATCTTTACTTGACTTTTCCATACGGTTTCATAGCAATTCCATCCTATTTGAAATAGGATTTTGTACGAATGAAAGCCTGCCTCCTTTTTTTATTATTGTGAAAAAAACTTATGGCACTTTTCTTTTCCTTCACTTCTAAACTCTTTCCTTTACTTCTGACTTGCAACTTCTATCATTTTGTCTCCACATTTGCTTGTTTTATGCACCATATTCGATCAATGGGGCCATGCTCATAATGTCCACGTGAAGTGCCCATTTTTTTCTTCCTTGCTTTCCTTTGTTTTGTCAGCTTGTCAGTTTGTCAGCAAACTCTTTTTTTCTTCTCTGTGAATTTTTGAAACTTTTCCAAATCCCGTAGAACTTTACGTGGGAGTAAACATCTATTTATTTCCCTCTTGTAGTAACTTTTTCCTTGGTGGGATTCATGCCATTTGAGTCTTGTTGTGGCTTCGTGCCGTTTGAATCTTGTTGTGGCTTCGTGCCGTTTAAGTCTTGGTGTGGCTTTGTGGATGACCATTGAAGGGCTTCCATGGTTTTGTTCCATTTTGTTGTCAAATGAAATTAACGGGTATACTCATAATAATCCCACTATTTTTTAGATTTGGCATTTGACTTTGGCTTGTACTTATTTTTTTTAATCTCCGCATTTCTGGCTTCTAGAAACAATTTTTAACTTGCAAAAGCTACATAAAGCCCACATGAAAGAACATCTTATTTTTTTTCCTCCTCGTTTGCAATTTCTTTCTCCTGAAAATTTTGTAGAGAACCATGCTTGGAATAGAGAAAATGTTTCATTTAATTCCTTCACGGGATCCATTCCATACGGATTATGTCGAACACAGCCTTCCCCTTGTTTCATATTTTTCTTTTGTACTTTCAATCCCATCTAACCATGGGATTTTGAAACCATTTGACCCAAATCTTTCCACAAAACTCCTTTTCCTCTCCACGTGAGATGCATGGTTCAAGGCAAAATAGACTTTTGTCTTTTCTTTAAGTATAAAGTTGGGACTCCCAAGTTTCTTACAGCAAACTTTAAATTTCTCTTCCCTTCTTCTTTTTTATTTAACTTTCCAGGCCTTCAAGTTCCAATAAGACTTTGAAAGTTCAACAAAACCTTCTTTCTTTTCCATCTGAGGAGACTCCCACGTGAGGTGATCACTCTTTGGCAATTGAAAAAGGCATCATGGCAGAGAGTTCATGGCCATGAACGGCATTTGTTCGAACGGGGGAACGACGGATGCGCCTTCTTCAACTTCAGTAACCCAATGGTCATTTTCTCTGCGGAACAAAGGCACCAGTTTTGGTGGACTTTGTTTCTTCTTCTTCTTTATCATCAGCAGCCTTTTTTTCTTCACTCGACAGCTACGACAAGAAACGGAGCTCTTGGATTTGATCGGAACTTCACGGGGTGGTTTAGACCACCTTGATGAAATTCATGGGATTAAACTGCAGTGGCACGGAGCAGAGCTCTTGGATTTGATCGGAACTTCACGGGGTGGTTTAGACCTCGAAGAAATTCATGGGATTAAACTGCAACGGCATGGAGCGGAGCTCTTGTATTTGATCGGAATTTCACGGAGTGGTTTAGACCCCAAAGAAATTCACGGGATTAAACTGCAACGGCAGGGAGCAGAAGTGGTGATTTCATTGGCTTTGTTGGACTGCAACTCAAGAATGCTGGGGAGTGGGAAAACTTGAAGAAGAAAAGTGCTTCTTTTCTTCCTACAAAGCAGAAGAAGGAAACAACCCAAAAAATTAAATGAGATGGCTTTATACCTTTAAATGCTGTGTAGCTTTTCCTGCTCTTTGTTCTTGCATGTAGCTCTTGATTTCTTCTTCTTCTTTCTTTTCCTTTGTTGTGCCTTTGCTTTCTTGCTTTGCCTCTCTGTTGTCTTTTCTGTGCTTCTCAATTTCTGCAGCGTCTCCTCTCTTGTTCCCATTTTTGCCCTCTTGCACTGCAACTAGTACTTATTTATAGGCATGGTTGGAAGGCTTTGGAGTTTTTAGTGGGGGAGTAGAGGCCTCCACTTTCCCTTAACTTCTCCCACTATCTGTGCAGCAATCTTCCACGACTGCAACTTTCCCACGTTTTGCAGAAAATAAGGAGTTTTTGCTCCAAGTTTCTTCCTCTTATGTAGGGATATATATGTGTTTTTCTTTATATATATTTATTATTATTTTTGCTCCTGTCTTTGTCGACTTGGGTTTTCCAAGTTTGAGACGTGCTACCTTTCCTTTGTCGTTTGAGAAGTTTGTTTGTTTGAAAACTTCTCTTTCATTTTTATTTTATTTTTTTTTGTTCAATAGTATGATCATGCCATATTTGGATTCACAAACTCATAAATCACAACAACAACAACAACAATATATATTTCTATTTTTTCTAGATTAAAGTCATGGCATGATATACCATCCTGCCTGCCTGTGTCTGAAATTCTCTGAGTAAGTTCTCCTCTACAAAAAATCATTATACGGGTTTTTACAGCGAGGGGTTACTATATTACGAAAAGCAAGGTTTTTAAAAACTTTTATTTTTGCCCGCTCACACTATTTGTTTTGCACTCCTCCAGGACTTATTATCTATACTTTGGTGAAGACAAGGATCATTGGTAATTTGTGATGTTCACTTCCGATAATGTAGGAAGTTATTTCTTTGTAAATATTCTTTACATTTATGCACTTTTATTAATGCTCTCATACTGCATGCATTATAATAAGGGTTAATCGCACACTACACACTCTTAGTTTAATTTAATTTTGATATGAAAAAAAAGAAGCTATATAAACATTACCCCTCAAAATGCAAGAAAAATAAAATACAGAAAAAATATGGGAGATAAACCTTACCCTTCCTTAAAAAAATTAAAAAATAAAAATAAAAAAAAAGGAACATAAACCTTACCCCTTTTAAAAAAAATACAAAAAAAAACGAGATATAAGCCAAAACCCCTCTAAAATAAAACTTAAAAAAAGAACTAGTATAAAAAATATACATATCTTTGCAGTCTTCATTATGAAAAGAAAACCAAAGATGTACGATAAAAAGTACAATCTAGTATCCTCTAAGCCTTGTTTTCATCATGGTCATAAGCACTGTAATATTGACATGAAGCCTATAAATAAAATAAATAAAATAAAATAAAATAAAATAAAATAAAATAAAAAAAGGAACATAAACCTTACCCCTTTTAAAAAAAAATACAAAAAAAAAAAAACGAGATATAAGCCAAAACCCCTCTAAAATAAAACTTAAAAAAAGAACTAGTATAAAAAATATACATATCTTTGCAGTCTTCATTATGAAAAGAAAACCAAAGATGTACGATAAAAAGTACAATCTAGTATCCTCTAAGCCTTCTTTTCATCATGGTCATAAGCACTGTAATATTGACATGAAGCCTATCTTGTACATTGTCTAACAATTTAATACCGCATATCTTCATGTCTTCTTAACAATTAAGAACCACACACTCCCCCAAAATCCAACGATGAAACCTAGTGCGGAGAAAATATACAACCATGGAAATTGATGCTCACTGTCCACACCTTGGTTGTTCTTATTATCTGCATCAATACCCTTAGTTGGTAGGCACTCATTCAGAAGTGGAGGGCCACACAGTTTTGAATTCCCTTCAAACGCAGAAGCACTGAAAGTTTGGAGCTGAGTGCTTGTTGGGATTGGTCATTCGAGATTATTGTACGAGACACTGAAGGATTTTAAAAAATTAAGGCTTCCCAATGACAACGGGATGTTTCCAGACAAATGATTCATGGAGAGGTGCAAAGTCTCTAGATTTTTTAAGTTAGATATTTGTTCTGGAATGTTGCCAGAAAAGTAGTTGCCACTAAGATCCAAGTTGTGGACAAGGTATATTTGGCCGATCTCAGTAGGTATTCTACCATGAATATAATTGAGGGATAGGTTTATCGTTGGTGGAAAGCTAGACAATCTTTGCGGGTAAATTAGGTTTACAGGGGTGAAGATTGGCAGGTCAATATAATCGTCTACTTGAGTTGTGGTGGGTTCATGTACCAACCTTGGTAGTCCACAAAGTTGTTTTGGAAATTCACCAGAAATTTGGTTGTCTGCCAAGCTCAAGTAAAAGAGCTTGGGAAGAGTCCCTAAAGATCTAGGAATTGGACCTGTAATTCTACTACCTTTCAAAATCAACATCTCTAGATTCTTGAGTTTTGATAACCATAAAGGCATTTGACCAGTGAATTCACAATTAAAAAAAGTCAACATTCGAAGATTTTGGAACCCACCGAAGTCAAGCATTCCTTCATCAGCTGGCAATTCGTCACCTTTGAATGAATACGAAAGCAAGAGTGTTTGAAGACTTTTGCAATGCATTAATATCTTCATTGCCCCAGTGATGTTGGTTAAGCCACTCAGTGAAAGAAAGGACAAAGACTTCAATGAAAGAATTTCAGGTTGTATTTGTCCCTTTAGATTATTTGCAGTCAAGCGAATAGCTTTTAGGGATTGGCATGAATAAAGGCTTGTTGGAAATGTACCAGTAAAGTGGTTTCGAAGTAGGTCAAGTTTACTGAGGTGACTAAGTTTCGAGAAATTGAGCATGGAGATATCTCCTCCCAAGTTGTTGGCTGCCATACGTATTTCTACAATGTTCGTGCAATTCATCAACGATGGGGGCAAAGAACCTTCAAAATGGTTGTAATCAAGAGCCAAGAGTTTCAATTTGGAAAGCTTTCCAAAATGGAGAGGGAGCACTCCACTCAATTGATTAAAGGAGATGTCAAGGATTTCGAGGTTGGTGAGGTTGAAAATTTTCTCACTTATGGCTCCATGGAGCGAATTGGAAGGGAATGCAATTTCTTTGAGTTTGGTGGCATTGTAGATATCTTTGGGGAGTAGCCCTGAGAGGATGTTGTTACCAGCACGAAAAATTTGCAGTTTTGAACACTCCCCGAGTCCAGGAGAAATGCTACCATTGAATGCATTGAGGGAAAAATCCAACAGCCTAATCTTGGGAGAAGAATGAAGACATAAAGAGGATGGGATCAAACCTGAGAAGCTATTGTTGTGGACGTTGAAACTAGGGGTGGGCACTTGGAACCGAAAACCGAAACCGAAACACGAATCGAATCAAACCGCACCAAACGGTTTGGTTTTGCGGTTTTGAAACGGTTTCGGTTTCAAAACCGAACCGCGGCACACAAAACGGTTTGGTTTCGGTTTTGGGTTTTCAAAACCGCACCGAAACCGAAACCGCAATTTTTAGTTTTATTTAGTTCATTATTCAACTAGGTTATACGGTATACTTGGTTTTGCGCCGCTAGAACTTCTGGGTTTGCACCGAGTGCGAGTGGTTTTGCGACTGCTTCTGCACCGCTCCTTGCATCTCCGCATCGCATCTGCCTATGCGACCTGGTCACCTGCTTGCATCTGCTTCTGCGGCGATTGCTTCTGTATGTGCTTCTTCCTGCGAGCGATTGTTTTCTGCCTTTTTTGAAATAAATTTTCTGAATTTGGTGTATGATATTTCAAATATGGATGCTTCTCTGCTTCCACGTTTGATATGTTTCGTTTGTTTTTTTTTATTAGATTATCTGTTCATGCTAGTATTCTTTGAAATTTCAACATTTGATTGTTCCAGTAAACAACGGCGGTCAATACGCATGCTAATTTTTCTTTATATTTTGTTGGTCTTTATATTCTTTGAAATTTCAACATTTGATTGTTCCAGTAAACAACAGTTTAAGCTAAAACTGTTTGATTGATCGTGTAGCTTTTCTTGTTTTAATGCTTTTTGGCGGGTTGGTATGGAATGGAATGGATGTGTAGGATGAGAGCGATCCTCGTCGTAGAAATTCCTCTGCCGCCATTTGTTAAGCGCTTGAGAGTTCGTTAATGTACTTTGAATGTAAAATGCAGATGATATGCTGCAATTTTTTGTAATTCACTGTGTTTCAGTGATGCGAAAGCCTTCCCGGATGTACTTAACATGGTTTTCTTTGTCGCAGTTATGACTATTCGGGATATGGAGCATCCACTGGTAAGGTAAGTATTGAGTATCGATGGAGTTGGTTTGCGTTTATAGTGGTTAGTGCAGAATTCAGGTTCTAACGTGCATCCCTTTTACATCGATCTATTGACCGTCATAGCTAAAATCTACGATTGAAATGTGTTAATGTTGGTGATTGTTTAGCCATCTGAGTTCAACACATACTATGACATAGAAGCCGTGTACAATTGTTTGAAGAGCGACTATGAAATTAGACAGGAGGATTTGATAGTGTATGGCCAATCTGTTGGAAGCGGACCAACACTGCACTTGGCTTCTCAATTGAAAAAACTCAGAGCCGTTGTTCTTCACAGTGCCATCCTTTCAGGCATACGAGTCTTGTATCCTGTCAGGTTGACGTTTTGGTTCGACATTTTCAAAGTAAGTTCGACTTTGTCTTCTTTGAATTGCTTAATTCTGCTGCAAGGCTCGGTTACTTGAATTTGTATTGACAAGCTCTGTGCAATGTTTTCAGAATATAGATAAAATACGGCATGTCAGCTAGGCCTGGCATTTTGGACCCAACCCGTTAACCCGACCCGACCCGACCCGTTAATATTTGTATTTGGGTGGATGCTTAACGGGTCGGGTCGCTAACGGGTGAACCCGTTAACAACCCGTTAAATAACGAGTCATTTTGGGTCAACCCGTTAGACCCGTTAGCACCCGTTAGTTGAGGATATTTTAGTAATTTTAGTAAAGTCTTAATAACAAAAAATAAACTTTATGCAAAAAAAATAATAATAATAATTGTTAACGGGTGAAACGGGTGACCCGTTAGCTTAACGGGTCGGGTTCGGGTGACCCATTAGCTTAACGGGTTGGGTTCGGGTGACCCGTTAACTTAACGGGTCGGGTTGAAACCCGACCCAAACCCAATAAACCCGACCCGTTTACAGGTCTAATGTCAGCTGTCCGGTTTTAGTTATTCATGTAAGTACCTATTTCCTTCATTCATTTGAAACTATTTTGTTTGAGTATCATTCTTTTAGAATTCAAAGAGTTTGTGTTGTGGTTCTAATGTCGTTAATCTTCCCGCTCCTGCCTAGTACATCTTGTCTGATTTCTCTCATTTTGAGTCTGCACCATTTGTTGTTTTCAGTTTGTTAATCTATGGTTTGAAACCGTTTGAAACCGCACCGAAACCGTTTGAAACCGCATCGAACCGAACCAAACGGTTTGGTTTCATTTCGGTTTTGGCTTCAAAACCGCACCGCACCGCACCGCAAAAAGTTTCGATTTCGGTTGTGGTTTCACTCGAAACCGCACCAAACCGCACCGCGCCCACCCCTAGTTGAAACTAGTTAAATTCCAAGCTTGTTGAAAGAATGATGATGGAATTGCATCGTGAAAGCGATTGCTTGACAAATCCAACATCTGGATATTGTGGGGTGGCAGAGAAAAAGGTAGCTTTCCAGAAAGAAGATTAAAGCTTAAATCAAGGATCTCAAGATGATTCAAAAACGAGAAGAATTCAGTATCAAGTGATCCAGAAAGTGAATTGTGAGAGAGATTCAAGTGGGTGAGGTGTGTGAGATTTCCTAGTGATGATGATGAGGGGAAAATAGCTCCTTTGAGACCTTTGGAGGATAAGAGCAAATGGGTGACCAAACCATCCTGATTACAAGTGATGCCATTCCAACAACAACAGTTAACTGAAGTCCACTTTAAAGGGGGAGAAGATAGGGTGGAGGTGAAGGACAGAAGAGAGGCACGCTCAGTTTGATTGCATGCATGAACATTTGTAGAGATGATGTGAGAGAATAAGAGGATGAGAAGAAAGCCATGAGCCATTGGGTTAGAAAGTAAGCTGGTCTAGCATAGATATGTTTCTTTACATTCGGAATTCTCAAAGGTATATATAGAACAACTAATTGCATGCATAATCCGAAGTTCTTTCCTGTCTTCTTCCTTTTAGCCTGCAAACGATGAATCATTAATGCTCGAAACGCTAGCGGCAAACATCACTGCAATCTGAAAAATTGGCAAACAACCATAACTGTACAAATGTTTTGAATTAAGGAGGGGCCACCATGAAGGGACCAGAACTTATACCTTTGTTTCAACGCCGTAGTTGGAAAACCAAACGGGGCATTTAATTTAGAGGAGTAGAAGAATATGAAGTGACACCGAACGCGGTTTTCATACATGCATGTTGTTTAGTATTATCAACATTTCCTATTTGGCGAGCCAAAACTTGAATTGACTCAACTAAATAGAAGTTATCTAGTTTTTGTCTCAGTGAGTCCTCACCTACACAATGTAGGTAGGTGCCTAGGCGAGTGCCTAGGTAAATCTAGGCGAGTGCCTAGGTAAATCTAGGCACCGTTTCTTATTTTTAAGACACCTAAGAATTAATCGTGTCAATGGCCAGCAGCCTAGGGTCTAGGCAGGCTATGGCGGCCTTAAGTAAGGCCTTTTAACATAGCACTTCAAAGTCTACGACGGGCCATGTTTAGCAAATTAGTTGAAGACAACAACATTCAAAAGCACTAATGCCTTTCTTGTTAAGTAATTAAAAAAGTCTTTTTTTATTAACACCCTACATAATGTTGAATACACCCCACATAATGTTGAATACACCCCAAATAATGTTGAATACATCCCACATTGAAATTTAATATTAAATGACTTATATACCCTATTGTACAATGACAATTTCGACCTTATAAGATTTAAAAAAAAATAAGAAATTTCTGAATACATGCCAAATCATCTTTAAAGTATATTTATCTTCAATTCTCAAAACCCCTTTCATCCTCCATTGTAAAATAAAATTCTAACCAATGAAACTAATACGTTGATTGAGATTTTTTTTTTAATTTAATTTTTTTACGAATGAAACACGAAATCGATGTTTTAGAAACTTTTCACGAGGTAAGACTCCATATTTTTCATTTTTTTTAGTGATTTCAATGACATCTCCCTATATAAAGTGAGATATTAGTCTTTCGATAGAGAGAATTTAGGGTAGGATCATATTCGTTTGATGAACGATGAAACTTTAAGTAGTTCGAATTTGTGAATTACAAATACTGCAAATACTTGCATGCGATTCCCAGGAAACCATAATATTTTGTTGTGTGTTCAAGCTCTTAGAAGGAATTTAAGGTTTTATGTCATATCATTCCAAGTGCCTGCAGTCATGGGTTGTATCTGCACCATGGTCATGTAGAACCCTCCCAACAATTGCAAGAGAAAATAATCAGCATAAGACATATGTGATTATTTTTCTCCTTCTTTTCCCTTTTTTATTGGGTTTTCTCATACCCTCCATACTTTATGCATGGTATTTTCATGCATTCTCATTTTTTGTGATTGGAAACGAAATTGTAGAAGTCCGAGTTATCTGAATATATGAACGGGGAAGTCTTCTGTAGTGAGTCTTTATATGCAGTGAGTATGTTGTAGTCAAAATCCTTGACAGTAGAATACTTTGAGATGCAGACACCAGTTTGCTCCTTAATTTACTCCCAAGTCAATTTAGTTTACAATAATTAAAAATGAGTATTATAAGATGTGAACGATGTGGGGTGTATGTAGAAAATATAAGATGTATGTTGAGAAAGTGGGTTATGAGGGTGTTATGGGAAAGGATGTGAGGTGCATTAAGATAATTGTTAATTAAAAAAGCAAATATGGGATGTATTAAGTTTGTGGGATGTATTCAACAATACGTGGGGTACTAATATAATACGCCTTAAAAAAAAGAACAGAACATTTGAATTTTGGGGAGTATAGCTAAATACAGTGATGCCTATCGATGGCTACGTATAACTGTTAACAATATCAAAGTGTCGTACATAGAAAATGCAATTGCCTTACAGTAGTCATACAAAATATCAAATATTAAAATATGAACCAAAATCATAAAACATAAGAAAATCCTAAAACTAACCAGATTATACTTCGGTCTATGAGTTAACTCCCTCTTCAGTCTCTTTTGGTCCGAGCAACATCAACAATGTATTGATTCAAGTGCTGACCAAATATTTTCGTAGAGAACGACCCTGTGACATGCTATCGTGCTTCTATACCCCTTCTCTGAGCCATCTGGGGGTCTGTTATGAGTTTAGCCATAGCCAAAGAGAACTCTCATGGGTTACAGTCACACAGAAATCCCGTCTCACCATTCTTCACTGTCTCTACAGGGCCCCCACTGTTGCACAAAATGACAGGTTTATGAGCAGCCATTGCCTCCAGAGGTACAATGCCAAAATGCTCATCCTGCATTTTTGAATATCTCATCAATTTCATTCTCCCCACAATATCTGATCAACGGAACAAAATTATGTAATTCCCCTTTGGCGTATAAAGAACACATAGGCATTGGGAGAGAAGAAGTGCATTTCTTTCTGCTGTCGAGCAAGAGGTGACGAAGTTAACTTGATTGGACACTCCTTCCGTTTCTGCTAGACTTCTGAGCTCCTCTAAGTACTCAACATTTTCTCTCAAACGATTATCAAAGCCACCTAAAACGTCGGACATGTATTATATTTATCATTCCCGTATGTGAACATATGCAGATCTACCAATCAATTAAGGAATGATACATGGGTATATCAATGTTAAATTAAAGTCAACCAGTACGCCATTGGAGTAGAATTGATTCCTCTTGGTACATGGCCTAAACAAGGGTTGACACCAAACCTAAGGAACTTCTCCTTCTAGCTCATTTCTTTGGACTTGATGTTGGAAGCTAACCAGCTCCTGGAGTCGAGGGGTCGAAGGCAGCAAGGAGCTCCTGAGGAAAGGGTGTTGTCTGCATCGAAGAAGGAAGAAGAAGAAATGAAGGGTTGGCCTCCAATGGCTAGTTTTTGTTTAAACGTGTGAGTGAGATATGTACACTCCAGATTAGATCACTTAAATCTCAATGAAGGGATAGGAGTTAATCTGGAGTAGTAAGGTGATTTTAGTGTTTAAATATTGTCTAATCACCAACTCTTTTACACAAGTATGGGTGATGGAAATGTACCATACCCTTACACATTTTCTCTATTTAATGAAGTATGGCTGCTGCATTTTCAGCACAACCTTGAAGTTGAAAACAACACTCCAATATCCTCTCAATTCTTTGCCATTCTACCCCCAAGAAACCGATCCAAAAAAATATAACAAAAAATCATCCAAACAAACAAACTTTATCATGGTATCAGAGCTTAGTTTATGATCTAGAAACTTTCTGGGCATAATCTGTGAAAGTTAAGACTTTTGGGAGCACCAATGAAGTGTCCTCAACAACAACAACTAGTAAACAATTCTGCAAATGAAGGGATCTAGCAGTAGTAGTGAGTTAAAAGCTCCAGTCTTTGATGGGGAGAATTATGATTTTTGGAGAATAAGAATGACAACCATTTTCAAATCCTATGATCTATGGGATATGGTTCAACACGGGTATGAACTACCTGAGATGGAGATCAATGCTTTAGAGGAGGATCTCACAGAAACACAACTCAAAACACTGAAGCAGAATCGGATGGAGGATGCTAGAGCACTTGGAAACATTCAAGGTGCTGTCTCAGACACCATTTTCTCGAGGATAGCAAATGAAGAGACTGCAAATGGTGCTTGGGAAGTTTTACAGCAAGAGTATAGAGGAGACACTAAAGTCAGAAAGGGAAAACTTCAGTCCCTTAGAAGAGATTTTGAGTATACAAGAATAAGGGAAAATGAGCTGTTAAAAGACTACTTCACTAGGCTGTTTGATGTTGTAAACAAGATGAAAACATATGGTGAGGAATTGCCTAATGAAAGAATTGTCCAAAAGCTGTTGATTAGTTTGACTAAACCCTATGATTCAATAGTAAGTGTTATTGAAGAAACCAAAGACACTGAAACTCTCAGTGTGCAAGATGTGATGACATCCTTAAGAGCTTTTGACCAAAGAGTCGAGAGGCATGCTGATTTTGCACCTGAGAAAGCCTTTCAATCACTCAATGTTGGATCTGGTAGTCAAGCTAGTGCAAGCAATTAGAAACCACAGTGGAAGGGCAAGAACAAGAAATGGGAAGACAAAGGGTATCACAACTCTAGACCTAACCAAGGCAGCAACATTAATGCAGGTCCAAGAACCAAACAACAATGCAAATATTGTGACAAATTTCATCTTGGAGAGTGTTGGTTCAAAGACAAGCCTAGGTGCCACAAATGCAACAGGTTTGGGCACATTATAAAGGAATGCATATCAAAGAATGTGCAGCAAGTGAACTGTGCAAACCAAGTGGAGGAAGAAGCAAATGTGTTATGTGCTTTCAGTGCAAAAGTGGAGAAAAACAATGAAGTGTGGTACATTGATAGTGGCTGCAGCAACCACATGACTGCATATGAGTCATTACTCATTGACATTGACACAAACTTCACTGGAAAAGTGAAAATGGGAGATGGAAACATTGTCAAGGCCACTGGAAGAGGAATTCTAGTTATCAACACCAAGAAATGAAGAAGATGCATAAGGGAGGTGATGCTAGTGCCATGACTGGATGAAAACCTACTTAGTATGGGTCAAATGATGGAGCATGGGTATTTCCTACTCTTTGAGGGAATTGTGGTTGAGATCTATGATGACAGATCCCTATCAAATTTGGTGACCAAAGTGGAAGTGAAAAACAGAAGCTTTCCACTTATGTTAAAGTACTTAGAAGAAGTGGCAAGGAAAGCAAGTGTGACAAGTTCTATGAAACTATGGCACAAGAGGTTTGGTCACTTAAACATGACAAGCCTAGAAAATCTACAAAAGTATGAAATGGTACAAGGGATACCTAAGATGGATCATTGCAATGAAACCTGTGAAGGATGTGCATTTGGGAAGCATCACAGGGATCCATTTGAAGTTGGCAAGGCTTGAAGGGTAACAAAGCCACTCGAATTGATTCACACAGATGTGTGTAGACCAATGCAAACAACAATAATCAGTGGAAACAGGTATTTCCTAACCTTCATTGATGACTACTCACGAATGTGTTGGGTGTATTTCATGAGGTTCAAGTATGAGGTATTCACAATATTCAAGAAGTTCAAGGCAATGGTGGAATTGCAAAATGGATACCAAATCAAAAGACTGAGAAGTGATAGGGGAGGTGAGTACACCTCACATGAGTTCAATGCATTTTGTAAAGATGTGGGGTTGGAGAAGCAACTCACTGTGGCATATTCACCACAATAGAATGAGATTGTAGAAAGGAAAAATAGGACTATAGTTGAAATGGCTAAGTCTATGATGCATGAGAAGAACATACCTTATACATTCTGGGGTAAAGTTGTGAACACCTCAGTGTACCTATTGAATAGGTGCCCTATTAAAGCACTAGACAAGAAGACACCATTCAAAGTGTTCAGTGGAAGGAAGCCCTCAATGAAGCACCTAAGAGTGTTTGGCTCGGTGTGCTACACTCTCATCCCTTACCAACTAAGGCACAAGTTAGAGAAATCAAGTAGCAAGGGTGTTTTTGTAGGCTATGGTACCAGTGAGAAAAGGTATAGAGTTTATAATATGTTGACTCAAAAGATAATCCCATCAAGGGATGTTATCTTTGATGAAGACTCAATGTGGAACTGGGAAACAAGGGTAGAAGAAAAGGACAATGTCTCTCTACAACTTGACCTCAACAAAAGGCAAACAAGGGAGCCTATGGAGACCTCAGTTCAAGAAGAAGTCACAGATAATGGTGACATACAAGGGACTCCATAGCAAGCTACTATGAGTCCACAATCAAATCAATCACAGATAACAACTCCAAGTTTAACTCCAGTGAGATTGAGAAACCTGGATGAGATTTATGCTACATGTAATTACTGTGTAGTAGAACCAGAAACATACGAATAAGCTGAGAAAGACAAAGCTTGGAAGAAAGTAATGAAAGAAGAGCTTGAAATGATAGAGAAGAATGACACTTGGGAACTTGTAAATCGACCAAGTGACAAGCTTGTGATTGGAGTGAAATGGGTGTACAAAACGAAGCTCAACTTAGATGGTTCTGTGCAAAAGAACAAGGCCAGGTTGGTGGCCAAAGGTTACTCACAGAAACCAGGTGTAGACTTCAATGAAAGCTTTGCTCCAATAGCAAGGTTAGACACCATAAGGACCTTGATAGCCCTAGCAACCAAGAAGGGTTGGAAGTTACATCAATTGGATGTCAAATCTGCATTTCTAAATGAAGTGCTAGAGGATGAGGAGTTTGTGGATCAACCTCAAGGGTTCACGAGTCAAGAGTTTCCAAAAAAAGTGTACAAGTTAAGGAAGGCTTTTTATGGCCTAAAGCAAGCTCCAAGATCTCGGTACAGTGAGATTGATTCCTATTTCACTAAAAAAGGATTTCAAAAAAGTCCTAGTGAAGCTACACTCTACACCAAGACAGAAAGCAACAACAAGACACTCATTGTCTCAATCTATGTGGATGATGTTGTTTACACTGGAAATGATGCTACAATGATTGAAAAGTTCAAAGAAGAAATGATGAAGAGGTATGAAATGACTGACCTAGGCCTCTTGCATCATTTTCTTGGCATTGGGGTAATTCAAGAGGCAAACAACATCTTCATTCATCAAAGGAAGTATGCTGAAACCTTGCTTGAAAAGTTTGGTTTGAAGGGTTGCAAACCGGTCTCTACACCTCTAATTGCAAATGAGAAACTTAAGAAGGATGATGGAAGTGAATCTGCAGATGCTAGTCTCTACAAGAGCATTATTGGTAGTCTATTATACTTAACTGCAAGAAGGCCATATCTAATATTCTCAGCAAGCCTACTTTCTAGGTTTATGCAGAATCCTAGCAAGATACATATGGGCACAGCTAAGAGAGTGCTGAGATATGTGCAAGGAACGCTAGATTATAGGATTAAGCATGAAATGGGGAAGTCAACTATCCTAATTGGATTTTGTGATAGTGACTGGGGTGGCAGTGAAGATGATAGCATAAGCACATTAGGCTACGCTTTCACCTTTGGTTCAGGGGTGTTTTCATGGGCCTCTATGAAGCAACAAAGTGTTGCTTTGTCCACAGCCGAGGTGGAGTAAGTGAGTGCATTAGAAGCAACGGCTCAAGCTATTTGGCTAAGGTTTATACTTAAAGATTTTGGTGAGTTACAGGTTGATGCCACACCACTCTTGTGTGACAACACCTTTGCAATTGCCATGACCAAAAACCCAGTTTTCCATCAAAGAACAAAGCACATCAAGAAAAGATATCATTTCATCAAAGAAGCATTGCCGGAAAATACAATCAAACTAATCTATTGCAACACAGAAGATTAGATCGCAGACATATTCACAAAAGCACTACCGAAGGAGAGATTCAATTACCTAAGGGGTTTGCTGGAAATGACTCCTAGAAGCAGTTTAGAAGGGAGTGTTGGAAGCTAACTAGCTCTTGGAGTCGAGGGGTCGAAGGCAGTAAGGAGCTCCTGAGCAAAGGGTGTTGTCTGCATCGAAGAAGGAAGAAGAATAAATGAAGGGTTGGTCTCCAACGGCTAGTTTTTGTTTAAATGTGTGAGTGACAAATGTACACTCTAGATTCCCAATGAAGGGCTAGGAGTTAATCTGGAGTAGTAAGGTGATTTTAGTGTTTAAATATTGTCTAATCACCAACTCTTTTACACAAGTATGGGTGATGGAAATGTACCATACCCTTACATATTTTCTCTTCTTAATGAAGTATGGCTGCTGCATTTTCAGCACAACCTTGAAGTTGAAAACAACACTCCAATATCTTCTCAATTCTCTGCCATTCTACCCCCAAGAAACCGATCCAAAAAATATAACCAAAAATCATCCAAACAAACAAACTTTATCACTTGATGGTCACTCTGTATATATATATTTTCACATATTTCATGCAAAACGAAGTGGAAATATCTTCGCAAATAACGAGGGAAAATTTGAACACCCCATACAGGGTTTTGATTCGGCTATACGTCAGACAAGCTTATAAAACTGCTCATAAAGGAACATAAGATACTGTAAGATAACAGCACAATAGTTCATTGCTATTTCGGCTACATATGCTTTTTTTTTGTTTCTCATAAATTACAATTCTAGGCTTGGCTATGGGTCTAAGCCTTCACTAAAAATTCTAGATATAGGTTAGTGTTTCATAATTTACCAAGAAAAACATAAAAGAATATCTTTCCACATCCAGATGCAAATCTTAAATTGCAGGATCCGTAAAGCTCTCAACAGGCAAATGAAGAGGGAAAGTTTAATCACACAACCAGGGTGATTACTGCATGCTTCAACTTGATTATTCATAGCCTAACTAACAGATAAACAGTCTTCAACAGCAACATAAGTAATGAAGGAACATGCATTTCCGTGTAGAATCGTTAAGATTAGTAGAGCACTCAGGGAAGATAATAAGTAGGAACTTGCCTGCAATTGTTAAGGAAGCTTCAGCCAGATCAGGACCTTGAAGCATATCCCCTTCGAGCGAATGAAGCAAAGCAAAAGCTGAAATTGCCAGGTCTATATTCTTTTTCCTCTCAAATGATTGATAGACAGAAAATTTAGCCTGGAATGAGAAAATCAAAGCAGGAAAAAAAATAGTAAACTGCCCGATGAAATTCTGAGAAGAAAATCTTCAAAGTTATGGTTAGATATAGAATTATAAAGGTAGTATAAATTAAAACCAAAAGGCACCAGCAGATATACAAACATGTTCGTAACTTGTACGAATTGGCTTGTTCATTAAACTGATTCACGTTGACAGCTGGCTCAATCCCTCGTGCGTCAAGATGCTTAAATGTCTTCGTAAACATAGATGCTGTGAATTTGCTGTTAACAAGAATCTTATCTGCATTCCTGCAGGAGTATTTATCGAAAAGAAAAGGGAAATCTAGTAAGAAATAGTAGTATATCCACAAAAAAATAACACTGAAAAGATGCACAAGAAAAATTAGATGAATGTCATAAAGCCGAGATATGGAATCAGACCATGTTAAGTTTGATATTTCTGTATATTCATACTGCTGCAATGGCAGCATTGCTTTATACATTGGATACGTACACGCATGCATTAAACTAAATATAAATGAAGGTGGAGTCCTCGCTGCCCATAGTGCAGAAACTGCCCATAAAGCACAAACACAGATGCACAGCCCACGTGGGCAGTTTAGCTGTCAAGGCATGTGTTGAAACCATGTGCAATATTCTTCTGACAGGTTTGCTCTTTAACATTCCCCCTCAAGTTGGAATGGATGTTGATTATTCCTAACTTGTGGAGCAAAGTCGTAAACTGATGTAAGCTCAGTGGCTTTGTGAAGATGTCAGCTGGTTGCTTCATGGTTGAAATATGAGACGTCCTGATCATACCACTTTGAATCCTTTCTCGTACAAGGTGGCAGTCAATTTCTATGTGTTTGGTTCTTTCGTGAAAGACCGGATTCGAAGCGATGTGAAGTGCTGCTTGATTATCGCAATACAACTTGACTGGATGTTTATGTTTGATGCCCAAGTCTTGTAAAACATATTTCAGCCAAGTGACTTCACAACAAGATGCTGCCATTGAGCGATACTCCGCCTCCGCACTAGAACGTGACACAGTGTTTTGTTTCTTGCTTTTCCAGGAGATTAAGGATTCTCCAAGGAATACACAATATCCGGTGGTAGAACGTCGTGTGTCACGACATCTGGCCCAATCTGCATCACAAAAGGCATTCAGTTGGATTGGACTTCTTGCAGAGAGAAAAATACCTTGCCCTGGTGTATGCTTAATGTATCGTAAGACTCGGTGGGCTGCCTCCAAGTGTGGAGTTCGAGGCTTCTCCATAAATTGACTAAGAATGTGGACAGCATAGACCAAATCAGGGCGCGTGATTGTCAGGTAGATTAGTCTCCCAATAAGCCGTCGATAAGAAGAAGGATCAGTGATGCATTGTCCTTCGTCCTTTCTGAGTGATAAGTTTTGCTCCATAGGAGAGGTGGCTACTTTTGCACCAAGGTAACCTGCATCCTCAAGTATTTCAAGGGCATATTTTCGCTGTGAGAGAGCGATCCCCTTACTAGAGCGAGCAATTTCGATGCCCAGAAAATATTTTAGTTGGCCAAGGTCTTTCAACTTGAATTGCTTCGTAAGGAAAGACTTGATATCCTCAATTGCTTGTATGTTATTTCCTGCCAGGATAATATCGTCAACATATACAAGGAGAGCAGTGAATTTACCATCATGGTTTCGGACGAACAATGAATAGTCTGCCTTGGATTGTTGATAACCAGCTTTGCTAAGAGCACAAGAGAGTTTGATAAACCATTGACGAGAGGCTTGCTTAAGCCCATACAAAGATTTATGAAGTTTACAAACTCGTGTTTCCCCCTTTCGTCCGAAACCAGGGGGCAAGGACATGTAGACATCTTCTTCAAGGTCACCATGAAGGAAGGCATTGTGAACATCAAGTTGGTGAAGGTGCCATTGTTGGACTGAGGCAACAGCAAGAAGTAGGCGGACTGTAGTCAGTTTTGCAACCGGAGCAAAATTCTCACGATAGTCTAAGCCTTCAATTTGGCTATAACCTTTGGCAACCAAGCGTGCTTTATACTGCTCAACTGATCCATCGGAACGAAATTTGATTTTGTAGACCCACTTACATCCAACCGGCTGCTTTCCAGGGGGCAATGGTTGAAGAGACCATGTCCTATTTGCAGCAAGGGCTGCCAGTTCTTCTTCCATGGCTAAACGCCATTGGGGGTCGCGTACGGCCTGTGAGAATGAACTGGGTTCTATGGCAGCTGAAATGGAAGTGGTGAAAGCACGATGGCGAGCAGATAAGCGATCATATGTGAGTACATCAGACAAAGGATAAGAAGTACCTACCACTGTGGTCAATGCCGAGTGAGATGAAGGGACGGACCGAGAAGGAAGGTTAATGCCAACGTGATATTGTTGAAGATAACCAGGTGCATGAGTGAGGCGTTTAAGACGAGGTGGTGAAGGGGATTGGTCGACTGAAGAGGATGGATCGACTGAAGTGGATTGGTCTACTGAATCTTGTTCTAGTGGAAGGGACGGATGAATGATGGTGTCATCACAGTCAATATCTTGAGTATATGGAAACACAACAGGTGAGACGGCAACGGAAGAAGAAAAAAGGGAACACATTTTCATGAAAAATAACATCACGGGAAATAAAAATTTTACCCGTTTGAAGGTCGTAAACTCGATATCCTTTGGTGCCGTATGGATAGCCAAGAAAAATACAACGTGTGGCTCTTGCATCAAATTTGGTTGGTCTATGGTGGTGTGTGGAAGAGAAACATAAACAACCAAACACTCGCAAATGTGCATATGTTGGCTGTTTGTGATGAAGGATTTCATAGGGTGATTTTCCGTGAAGAAGAGGAGTGGGAGTCCTATTAATGAGATAAGTGGCAGTTAGGATTGCATTACCCCAAAATTTCTTGGGAAGATGAGATTGAAAAAGCAAGGCTCTAGCAACGTTAAGTAAGTGGCGGTGTTTACGCTCTGCTACCCCGTTTTGTTGGGGAGTAGAGACACAACTTGTTTGATGTAGAATGCCTTTAGATGAAAAAAAATGGGTCATAAAAAATTCTGGACCATTATCACTACGAAGAACCTTAACTCGTGTGGAAAATTGTGTTTCAACAAGGTGGATGAAATGTGATGAGATATGATCGTGCATCTGATTTGTGATTCATTAAATAAACCCATGTGCATCGTGTGAAATCATCTACAATGGTCAAGAAATATTGTGCCCCTGTGATAGTGGGAACATGGTAACCTCCCCAAATGTCAACATGAATTAATTCAAAAGGAGCTTTTGTTTTAATAGAACTCAAAGGAAAAGGAGCACGTGTTTGTTTGGCTAAGGGGCAGATCAAACAATCATCAATGCTACAAAAATTCAAATTTTTAATGCAAGGGGAGATAGCCCGTAAGGTTTTGTTGGAAAGATGGCCAAGGCGTTGATGCCAAAGCTGAGAAGCAGAAAGAGTAACAACTGACACTGAATTGCACCTGGTTTTCGTCACATTATCAAGGTAGTAGAGGCCTCCTTGTTCAGTTCCCGTCCCAATCATCTTCCCCGATCGTTGGCCCTGAAGTAGACACTTTTTATCAGTGAAGATGACAAAGCAAGATGAGGTATTAGTGATTTTGCTGACAGAAAGTAAATTCAGTTTAAATGATGGAACACAAAGCACGTTGTAAAGGACGAGATCGTTCGAGAGACGAACTGTGCCAATATGTGTGATATCGGCAAGTGCATGATTGGGTAGGTGCACTTGTCGATTGTATACCGGAACGCTTGTGGTCATCAAACTTGGTGAGCAAACCATGTGGTCTGTGGCGCCAGTATCGAAAATCCAGTTCCTTCCCTTATTGAGAGGAGAAGCACAAAGAACTCTACCTGATAAATCATTCATAGTAGAGGTGGTACCGACATGGTTAGATGTGGATTTAGACTGGCTCTTATCAAGTAGTGCAAGCAGGTTGTGGTATTGCTCGGGAGTAAGGCTGTAGGATGAAGGAGATGTTGCTGGAGGCGTTGGTTTGATGTCAACGTGATTAGCCTTGGAGTTGAACCCCTGCGAGTTGGAACCCCTGCGATCTTGATAATCTCCCTTATCGCTGCTGTTGTCCTTTGCCTTTTTCAATTTGCGGCATTGGTCTATGGTGTGACCTCTCCAATTACAGTAGTCGCACTTGAGGTGTGCACGACAGGTTTCTGAAGTATGTCCGGTTGCATCACAACGGCCACATTTTAAATGGGAATTTCTAGGAGAAAAATTCCTACCAGAGTTTCGCATGTTGTCCCGCACGGCGAAAGCTGCGGCATCAGTGATTGAAGACCTTCCAGGAGCATGTATTGAGACTGCTCTCTGTTTCTCATCTTGAATAATGAGTGAGAAAGCTTTGTTGACAGCAGGGAGAGGATCCATAAGTAAGAGTTGCCCACGAACTGCAGCGTAGGATTCATTGAGACCCATGAGAAACTTCATGGTTTTCTGACTTTGCTGAAACTGCATCAATTCTTTCGCAGCTCCACATGCACAGGTTGGGAGAGCGCACAAGGCATCACGTTCATCCCAAAAACTTTTCAGTTTGGTATAATATGCACCAATGTTCAAATTTCCTTGAACACTTCCATGTATCTCTTGTTCGATATGGAAGAGATGGACACTGTTTGTGTGAGAGAAGCGTTCCTTCAACTCATTCCAAATATCAGCTGCAACATTGTTGTAGATGACACTTTCACCAATATCTTTTGAGACAGAGTTGAGCAGCCAAGATTTCACGAGGTTGTTGCAACGAGTCCACTGTTGGTATTCAATTGTGGACGTCAACTCAGGCCTTTGAATGGTTCCATTGATGAATCCTTCCTTGTTCTTGGCATTGAGGGCCATGGTCATGGCTCGGCTCCAAGTGGAGTAATTTTCGTCATTCAATGGTTGTGTGACGAGAATCGCTCCAGGCTGATCGGAGTGATGAAGATAAAGAGGATCGCTGGGATCTTCGTATTTGGTGTGTTTGCTGGAAGAGTCAGTTGCCATGTTCACAGACAGTGTGCAGTGGCTGTGCTTTGCGGCTGTGCTTAATGGCTGTGACAGGTAGAGCAGCGACGATGGCTGTGTAGCGGTTTTGCGACGGCAAGGCAGCGAGTGTGCAGCTTGCAGTGCACTGGTTGCTGCAGTAGCAGATGTCGCTGTTCACAGTATAGCAGCGAAAGAGTGAAGGCAGAGCAGAGCAAATGATTACCTGCGCTCTGATACCATGTTAAGTTTGATATTTCTGTATATTCATACTGCTGCAATGGCAGCATTGTTTTATACATTGGATACGTACACGCATGCATTAAACTAAATATAAATGAAGGTGGAGTCCTCGCTGCCCATAGTGCAGAAACTGCCCATAAAGCACAAACACAGATGCACAGCCCACGTGGGCAGTTTAGCTGTCAAGGCATGTGTTGAAACCATGTGCAATATTCTTCTGACAGGTTTGCTCTTTAACAGACCAGTTGTCAATTCTTCTATGAAGTCTGGGATTTCTGTATATCCTCCTCAAAACAGTTGCGTGCTTAGCCAGCAATAAATCCGGAAAATGACAACCAGAAGTTACCAGATAACAATTCACACGAAGTAGGTGCAAATACCTTTGTTGCCTTCTTAAGCCTCAGCAGTGGGATGACAACAGAAACCTGATCTGCTAGTATTACATCAAACGATGGCCACATGAACAGCATGCAGAGAGCAACAGAAAGGCACCGTATATATGCACACAAAGCATGGAGTCGATAGAATATATGTCGGGGTTGGATGGCACCATATACAGTAACTGGAAAGATACCCGTGAAACCAAATGACAGTAAAACATCAAACTATGCAGTGATCTTGAATGACAGTTGATCAACTGCGAAGTTGATCAAACTATGCAGTGATCTTGAGTTACCGATGCCCAGATCGGGATTAATGATTGCAACGTTCGACTTGGATCCTCCTTTCTTCTCCTCCATTTTTTCAGCTCCTTCTTTCGCCCCAATTCTCTGCACATTCTAATTCAACATCTTAAAAAGGAGAAACCATTTCTGCTATATTGGGCCGAAACGGGTCGGGTGTGACTCAAATTGTTTAATTATAAAACTATTTGAAACTGGTTTTTACATAAGTGTAAATTGCACCAATGGTCCCTTATGTTTAACTCTATTGAAGTAATAGTCTTTCAATTAAAAATTCATTACCATTAGTCCCTAAACTTTAATCCAACTGGAGAAATAGCCTTTTAACTTTTAACCCAATTAGAGTAATGGTCTCTCAACTTTAATCCAATTGTAGTAATGATCCTTCCAACATAATTTATTTTAACAAAATTCTGACGAAGTTGACGAAATGACCATAGCTACACGTTTTGATGAATTGAGGGACCACAATTGTAGCAATGGTCCTTTAAACATAACTTATTTTGACAAAATTCTAATGAAGTTGATGAAAATGACCATAGCTACATATTTTGATGAGTTGAGGGACCAATGGTAATAAATTTTTAGTTGAGGGACCATGGCTCTAATTTGGTTAAAGTTGAGAGATCATTGCTACAATTTACTCTTTACATAAATAAGCACCTGAGTTGGTTCTTCAACAACGTGCCCCAAAAGGTTGAATAGGACGTAAATCATGCAATGAGCAGTTTATGCTTCGTGATAGTAAGATGTTGATGGTAATTAGGCGGTGTGTTTTATAGAAAGACGCAGTTATAGTTTCTGATATTCACGTTTGGGTTCAGATATTTTGTATTATTTTATTTACATTATCTTGTACAGTAGTACCACATCAGTCATAATACTTTCATTTAAATTTCGCCATATGGTTGGGGTCTAGACCACATAAGCATAGTTGTTGTTCGTATGAACTTTGAACTAAGAATTGATGCAGCTTTGGATTCTTATGGATAATCCAATAGAATTAATACTGAAAGTTTACGAATGGATAACACTTCAAAGTTGATTGTATAATATAGTTGTCCTTACTCTATAATAATTTCAAGTTTTTGTATAAAGTTTGTTACTTTGAAGTATACCTATTAGTACTTTCTCTTATATATGATTCGTATAATCATGTTTGCACGTGCAACAATCTGATTGTCGGTCTTTCAACATTTGAGAATCACTGTAAGAGTGCATTACTCTGCGTAACCCAACTAATATACTATTTTGTATATTTTTTGTGAACAATGAGTTGACATTCGAAGTGATTGAGAAACTTTGGTGGGCTTAATCAATAATAGTTTCAAAATTTTAGTATAATTTCTGTTACTCAAAATATATGCGTAGAGTATTTCTTCTTATATATGATTTGTATAATCATGTTTGAACGTCTCTCAATATGAGTGTTTTGAATAAATACAATTTTGATCATTTTTTACTTTGATTGAGCTGTTATTGTCCGTTGCATGTGCGTAGATAAATACCATTTTGTCCGTTATTATCCCAGTGTGTCTCAAGAGTAATTTTGTCATTTTACCCAAAAGTCCACGTGTCGTCTTCATAATTTTCTTGACTATTTTTGGCTCCACAAATGCCTTCACCCTTGTTGGGCTGCTCGCAGGAAAGGGTATTAGGTGTAGAGATCTTCTCTATTTTTAAGAAACATAGGATTGTTTCCTATTTTGATGTAGATTCTATCTTTAATTGGAAATTAGAACCTTCTAGGAAAAAGAAATAAATTACTTCTAAAGTCTATTTAAGTCTACCTTAAGTAGATGGTTAAATCAACTTTAGAGAGCAATTTATTCTACCCTACAAGAGAGAGAACGCTAGAGGATATTTGTTCCCCCTCTCCTAGCAATCTTCTACACTTGCCTGTGCAAAGATCCGTCTTTCGTTGCTTTCTTCATCTTCACACCGCACCAAGGTAAGAAAAAATTAATTTTTCGTTATCTTCGTAGTTTTTTGGAGCCTCGGGGCTTGAAATTGGCTCGACGAGGGTCGAGAAGGTGTGAAAAATGGCTTGGAGAGGCCACGACACTGTTGACATGGGTAGCATGGTGCGGCGGTGGCTCGACTTGGGTCGAGGGTTGGCGGGGCATGGCTGGCTTCGGCCAGGACGCTGGGGTGTTGGACTGAACCTAGCACGGACCAGGTTGTGTTGGGAGTATGCCCATAAAGCCACTCATTTGATGTAATAGCTTTTGGAATACTTATTGTGTTAAACTATTATATGTTTAATGAAGGGCAAAGCTTACTGTTAATCACTATTTATTGTATTATGTGTTTAAGTAATAAGGGAATCCAAGGAATGTATTTAATCTAAGAGAGAAGTGATCTAAGTAAGTTAGATTAATTAGACCTTTCTCTTATGTTCATTCCTAAAACATTCCTAGCCATAGGATTGCCAATTGGGCATTGATGTGTTATGTTAACTCAAGTGTGAGTATGACTAGTCTCAAGTCATTTAGTGTTGGACATTGAGACAAACACATAGGTGCTCAAAATGGTAATCGAGTACACTAACGATCAAAAGAGAGTTTGAACATACATGTCATGTAAGAACTCGTAAGTTGCAATATGCAAAGTAGTCCTTTGACCTGAGGCATCATAGAATACTCTGAGATATGATTCGGGAGTCTTTGGCCAAAACATATGAATATGACTTAGGAAGTTTGTTTGAAATCATATTCCATTGAATCATATAGAGAAGTATCACATTTGATAGTAGACATAAAACAAACTATCACTCAAACAATGTGATTAAGAATATTGTATTAGAGAAGGACTGTATTGCATTGTAATTGTAACTGGATAGGCTCTCCAACCACTTCTACTTAGCTTGGGTAGCCATGACATACTGCTAGGTGTCGCTCATGGTTTGTGGAAGCCCTGAAGATTAGCAAACACTAATCTTCATCAAAGGGAGAATTGAAATGTAGTTTCAATTCACAATCGATCGTTAAAAGTAACAATCATCCATTGCCTCGCTAATTGGAACCTAATGGATCGTACACCGAGTAAGGATGAAAGTGAAGAAATATAAATGAGATGGATAAGCAATTAAATGGTTTAATTGAGAATGGTTAAGATTAATTAATTAGTTAATTAATTATACGAAAGGTTCGTATTGGGCTTTCAATTTAGTTTCGGGTCTTGGGGTCCAAAAGGGTTTCGGTCCACAAGGCCCATTATGTTTAAGTTGTATGACAACACTTGGGTGAATCCCTTGTGTAAACAAGGATGAGCTCCAAGGGTAATGAAATTCAAACTCTCTCTTCTCTTTAATTTGTTAATGAGTCTTTTGGTTCACCATTCACTAGGCTTTAAAAGTCATGGGTTTTTAGAATTGTTTTTTAATGCATGCCTACTTTAAAGTGTTATTAGTTTGTTTTATGTGTTCAAATGTTCTCACATGTTCTTAGCTAGGACAAATTTTTTCCTTCAGGTTGGTGATGGACTGGGCCGAGAAGGCGCGAGCCTCCTTTCTTTTTATTTTTGCTATGCTAGACCCGTGTATGAGAAGAGAAAGATAGAGGGAGGCACGGGGGTGCCAGGCCCCCTCTATTTGGATTAGGTCACTAAGCCATTGGGCCGAGAATGGGAAAGCCCAAACCGTGGGGCTTGGCATGGCTTGTTGGGCTCCTATGATCTTGGGCCTGGCGCGCCGTTGTAGAATTTCTTCGAGCATGTCTTCTTCAAGTCACAAGGGTGATGATGGTGTACCGCCGTTGTATCGTCAATGCGGGTCTTTGAGTAAGGTAGGCTATTTCAAGGCTACTCACTTCAAAATTAATTCTAATGACTCGTTCAGAGACTTCCTTGAAGCATACAAGTATGCAATTCCGTCGGGGGTGCGTGTAAAGAGTGCCAAGGAAAATAACAGTCTTGAGCCATGTAGTGGGGCTAGGAAAGCCATTAAGTTTCACCCCTACTACTTTGTGTTGTGATTTACTTTCCCCATGCCGCGTTTCTTCCAAGAAGTGCTTTGTTCCATGAAGTGTTCCCCCACTCAATCAAGGTGAAGGTGTTGGCTCGTCCGATCACTATCGTGGAGCCTGCTGCGAATGAAGGTGGAAAAAATAGATTTTCCCCACATGATCAAGAAATGTCGGCTGAAAAGAAGCCGAAGACTTCCTTCGCTACTCGTAAGGGTCCGCCTGCTGCTGATAAGATTATGATTGACTTGACTTCTTCCAATGGGAAGAAAGTTAAGGCTGCTAGATCTGAGCCAATGACGCCTGCCATGTCAAAGGTGGCTAGTAAGATTACTAATATGATTGCTTAATGTAGAGGTTCCGTCATGCCCCAGTGCCGAAATTTATGCCAAAACATCCGTCGAGAGCTAAGTCTAGTTCACCTTTGGAGAGGCTTGCCACTATAAAGAACGATAGAGTGGACTTTGTTGCTAAAGTGGCACCAAAGCCTACTCCCTTCGCTGCTGAGACTAATTCACCTATTAAGAAATAGAAGATTGCTTGCGTGGGCAGTTGTGAGAAATCCAACAAGCTTGTTTCTCAGGAGGCTGCTGATATTTGTGCGCTCTTGAAACCATATCTGCTTAAAGACATGGATGCATGTGCCAAGCTTGTTAATGGCGTTAAATGGGTTGTCTGCCCAAGTTCCTTTGCGAAGCATACGACCGAATATAAAAGGATTGTTCTGCTTGCTATGATGCAGAAAATGTCGATAGGCTTGAACCCCAAGTGCTGGAACTCCAAGGTGCATTGAAGATCAACAAAAGTCCGAAGAAGGAAGTGGATGGTTGCAGCGCGTCTGTGTTGGTCTGCTCGAGGAGAACGAGTAGTTGAAGAGTGATAAAGCTGGGATCGAGACTTTGCTTGTTCAAAGTCAAGCTGATTTCTACAAGCTGGGTTATGTAGATCATCTTTTTGGTAGGCCATCTGACTTTGAGTTTGCTGGGAAAGACTTTAAGACCTTTTCTATTTCTCCAGAATACTTTCTTACCTTTACTTTGAAGGCTTCCATTGGTGAAGTAGTCGGATAAGTTGGTACCCAGGTTGGGGCAACCG